AATTTTTGTATTATTTTTTTTTTCAATTTTTTTTTACGGGTCGCGGGTTAACCGCGGCCCGTGGGGGTGCAACCCGCGAAGCCCGTGGGTTACACCTCCTTAGCCCGTGAACCGCCCGCACGGGTCACGGGTCGGTCCGCGGTCCCGGTTTTCACGGGCCGATTTTCACGGGTTATGGCCGGCCCGTCCGTCTTGACACCTCTAGAGAGTGCAATGAGACGGGCTGTTATATTCAGCACCGGCACCCACGAGAGAATGTAAAAACCATTACAAATATTTAGCAGACAAAGCGACCGGTACATGACATGGGCTAAATCTCCCCCTTTCTTCTGCTCCCTTTTCAGACACAACACCCAGAAAGAGGGGTGGGGTGGGGTGGGGTGAAGCTAGATGAAGAGAGATATCTTGAAATTACGTGGAGTTTGGACTTTAGCATGGAATTTTCTCCAAAAATCCGCCTTACGACGAGTACAAAGCTTGTTAACAACGCACCTTAAAATTTACTATTTTTTTAAGAATCCCTTTGTCCCTTTATACGTTAATCTCTCTCTTTTTCTCCATCTTTCTTACGTTGTCAACTCAGCCATCCTGTCCTCATCTGCACTTTGCCTCTACTTCACGACCCACCTGAGGCCACCCCTTCAAGAATTGTGAAATTTCACGTTTTTTTTCCTTCTAACAAACTTTCTACTTATTCAATATTTTTTCTTTATTAAGTTGGGTTTGTTATTTTGTGATTCTGGGGGTGGCTATGGATTCGAGGAGGCATTTGGTGCTGTTTTTATTGTTGATCGAGTTGATATGTGTGGTGAGGTGCAATGTGGTTTTCAAAGTTCAGCATAAATTTGGAGGCCGTGGGAAGGGGGTGGAGGCCTTGAGGGCTCTCAAGGCTCATGATTCTGGCCGCCATGGCCGAATGCTGTCAGCCATTGATTTTCAGTTAGGCGGCGATGGGAAGCCTACAAATGCAGCGTATGTATTATAATCATATGCTTTTCTTTTTCTTTAAATTTCTATGCTATGCATCTAAGCATTTGTGTTTATGGTATAATGTAATTGTCGGTTTATTGAAAATCAGGTGTTTATGTTTTGTTTTGGTTATTATGAATGTTTGATGGCGTGAAATTGAGGACTTTGAATTAAAATTTGTGAAGAATCAAGATGAATTTAACTTAATCATTTTTGCTTTGTCAAAGGCAGGCTTAAAGTAAAGCATATTCTTTTGAATGATGAAATTTAATTGGAGTTGGCACAACGGATTATCATCCAAGCTGCCTCAAATTTCATATCTTGTTCTTGCTTTAGTATTAAGAAATGACAGGTTTTTTCTGTTATTATTTTTTTTTGATATGTAGTAGTGGCAATCATTAGTATACGTGTTCATATGTACGTACCTGTGGATATGACTCTGTTTTATTATGGCTCCTTGTATATGGGGAGTTAAAATTACGTGAAAGCTGGAAAAGGAAGACTATGGAAAGTTTTGATATCTTTGCATCTCTTTATCATTTCGTTATATGTACTAAAGCTTTGTCGTTGTTGAAGATGTTGGAGTTTTGTGTTGATTATGAAGGGAACTCTAAGAAAGGAAAAGGAATGTAGTTAATGAGGTAAGAATTTCCTTAGGAAGCATGGGGGGAATTAAAATTGATTGGTGTTGGATTTGTTGCCTATATCGAACACGACTTAAAACTTGTGCAGGAACTTTTAATTATGTGATATTATATGACAATTGCGTATATGAATACTTGTGTACATTCATGCACGTTTTATTGCTATTAGCTGTCCTTGCAAAATGGTCGTAGCTTTCAGAATTTCTATATGTTGCTTCTTGTTTTGATTCGGTTTTCTCTACTAAATATCATTTTTATTGCACCAACTTCGAACAACCGAAAATCGCACGTACGCTCTTAATTTGTTTCTTGACAACGGTTTTTTTGATGCATTGTTACAGGCTCTATTACACCAAGATTTCTATTGGGTCTCCTCCAAATGACTATTATGTACAGGTCGATACAGGAAGTGACATTCTCTGGGTGAATTGTAAAGACTGTGGCCAGTGTCCTACAAAAAGTGACCTTAATGTATGTCTTTCTCCTTTATTTTTTCATTTTCTTTTAGCCATCTTTATTTGAAGAATTGGATTCAAGCTGTTGAATACAGAATCTGGTTGCTTACATATTTCAATTTTCACGAACTGATGCATGCCACTTAAGACATGTTTGGTACTGAGTATTGTACATTACAATAGACAAGATTCTATATTCTTTACTTTTTTTATATTGTTAAGTTATGTGCATTATATCTTACAAAACGTGCCATTAAGTGCTTGTCATACTGGAATTAGAATGATGTTTAGGGTATGTTTTCATCCAACAGATCCCCTTGAATCAGTATGACATAACGGCCTCATCAACTGGCAAGAAAATCATGTGTGATCAACAGTTTTGCAATACTGTGTTCACTGGTCCAAATTCAGATTGCAAGGTTGGAATGGCCTGTGCATATGCCATCACTTATGGAGACGGGAGTAAAACTGAGGGCTATTTTGTCAATGATTACATCAGACTTGATCAAGTGTCGGGAAACTTTCGAACGACAACCATGAATGGGTCAATCGCATTTGGGTGAGTTCTCATTTCTGATCTTAGAGCCTTCTGTTAGGTCTCCCTGCAATTTGGTTCCAACACTTGTATTTGCTTTCTATTTATTTAGGCATCTAGCATGTCTCGTTGTGCTTAAAAGTAAGTCAAACTTACTTTTAAATTACTTATTTTTCCAACATGATATTTCTAAGTTACTTTTTTTTTACTACAAAACTTAGTTTCAATACAGCTAACTTAATTTGCTTTTTTCTAGAAAGCAAGTCTTCGCTTTCGAGAAAAGTAACTTTTTAAGGACAGCCAAACATGCTCTCAGTTATCCGCAGTACAAAATTGAGTTCTTCGGCTATGTTATGAGAATAAAAGATTATACTTGCTTTAACTTTGTTGAAGGTAGTCCTCAGTTTACATTAAGTACTTGAATGCATATCCTAGTCCATTTCAATCTCACAATATTTTGAAGCCATATATGGTATCTGTTTACGTATATTTATAATTTTGTCCACGTGGAGACAATTAGACCGTTCTCAACTAAATGCACAATGCGTTACAATTTATTATGGTAAAAGCTGACAGCATTTTTTTCCCCTTCTTTACACAAGAGCAAGCTTGATACATTCCTTTAAAATCAGCATTTGTATACCCATTCAACATGCACATTCACTCTCGTGTTACCATTACAGGCTAAATGCACTTGATTAGCTCAACTTGTGTCACAAACTTCTGTAAAATAGTGAAAAACGCCTGTTCTCTGGTATGAAGCTCAGGTTCTTGTAGAAAATCTAGACCCATATATTTCACTGACATCAATAAAACTTAAAAGTGTTACTTGTAACTGAATTATTATACCATCACTACTTTTAACATGGAAATGACTGGAATTGTTCTTCAAACTGCTTTGGACATCAGTTTTCTAAATAAAGCCATCGTTTTTTGATCATGGGTGTTGAACGTCCCTTCAAGTGCTTTCCAAGATACAGGCTCGAGTGAGTAGAGTGATTATTCAATGCATACAATAATTTTAATATGTAGGTGTACTAGTCAATTATGCGACATTCTTCTCGCAGCATTTTATCTTTTATTATTCCTCTTCTTTGGTTTTTGGCTTTCTGCTAAGTTCGTGAACGTCTTCTCTCTCTGTCTCAGATATATCTGAGGTATCGGCCGAGTGTATGGTGGAGGTATTTTGATTGCATTTGGTCTTTCCTGTCAGCCTAGTTATATATATAATTTATTTTGTGGATTATACTTACTTTCAATTGAGTCGTGCTCTTGCCTGTCGAACAATTTTACCATCTGTGTAATTTCAAGCATAACCTATTTATTATGTTACTTTCTTTAGCTTACATGTTTGTGATCCAAGATAGGTGCTCATCTAAACAATCTGGAGATTTAGGTTCATCCTCTCAAGCAGTTGATGGAATAATAGGTTTTGGACAATCGAACACATCCCTTCTTTCACAGCTTGCTTTGTCTAAAAAGGTGAAAAAAGTATTTTCACATTGCCTGGATGGAAGAATTGGAGGTGGCATATTTGCTATTGGAGAATTGGAGCAGCCAAAAGTAAATTCAATACCGCTGGTCAAAAACGAGTACGTTACTGCATAACTTATTTTGGGGGTGTTTGACACCCATTTTTGTGAAAAAATATGTTTTTGAATAGTGATTGATGGAAGAATGTGTGGTTAAAAAGTAAGGAGAATTTTTAGGTTTATGTGCAATATTATTTTATTGATAGAATGTGTGGTTGAAATGAAGAAAGAGAAAAAGAATGAGAATGAGAATGAAAAAAAAATAGGTGTCAAACGGGGGCTTTGTATCTTGGAGTTATTAGTGGTAAATATATGCAATTTATTTTCATTATATTACATAGTGTGGGCATAGCAATTTATCGGAATATTTATCTTTATTCTTTTAATTAAGTAACAAGTATTTAGGAACTTAAAGTTCTTAAGGATAACATTTAGCCCTGTTTGGTTTGAATTAAAATCCAATTAAAATCTCAAGTCAAAGTCAATAATTAATTTTAACCACACATTTCATGGAACCTATAACTTTTCAACCACCTATTTCATCAACTTTTAATCTCTACCAAACAAGGGCTTAATTTTTGGAGAATCTGATCATTACTGTGTAGGACAACTTCAATTTGGTTGCACATCGATATCATACTTGTTTTCTTTCAAGGTGATCAGTTTTTAATAAGGAGCAATGAGAACATGCGAAAAAAGGGACACGGGTGAATTTAAATTTTGTGGGCCATCTTATTAACTTGGTTGTTGAAAGGCATGTTCCGATTGAGATTTTAATTCTATCCAAGTAACAGAATCCAGACCATCATCTGGTAGAAGAATTTCAATCACCAATTATGTCTAAGTACAATAGTGTTTTCTTTTTCAGTTTCTTAAATGCCGTGACCTTGCCAATATTATGTATCATTCTGTTTCCTAAAAGCCTTACAGCATACCTTAAAAATTGAATCTTGACTATAATACCTCTCTCCCTTTATGAAGTTACTGGCGAAGGCAACTCGTTTTCACATTTATTGTGGCCGCCATTTTTTAATAAGAATTTGTGCTGGCATTTAGCATTAATTGTCTGTCGGGTTTGTTGCCTTAAACATTGTCTTTGGAATTTACATTTGTTTTATATGCTCTTCATGAAATGTCTGCTAAAAGAAATATTAGTTTGTGCCTTCTTGACTACATATAGGTCTTTAATTACAGTTTTATTACTCTCTTAGGTCGCATTACAATGTTCTTATGAAGGCAGTTGATGTGGGTGGTCAATCTCTAGACCTTCCAACAGATTTTTTGGGCTTTGATACCAATGGAGATACAATTATCGACAGTGGTACAACCTTGGCCTATCTTCCATCTGGCCTTTATAATCAGGTTATTGAAAAGGTATGTCTAATGCTTCATGCTCGTTCATCCATTAAACACTTACTTAGTCATTGCTTCTTCCTCAGTCCATCTTCTACTGTACATGCTTCTGTTTTCCTCTCTCTCTCTAGATGATGGCACAGCAACCTGATCTGAAAATTCATTCTGTCGAGGAGCAGTTTAAATGCTTTTGGTATAATGGGAAGTAAGGCTCCTTGCTACTCCGTGGTTGTGTGTATGTGTGTGTTTATACATATACGTGCACATTTGTATGCATGGACACAGACATGAAAGACAGTCTCCTTGCTGTTATTTATTGTCATATCCGTGGTTTTTGCCAAACTAATGTTCTGATACAAGTATAACTGTTGTTCAAATTACAACCGTGAAAGAATTTCTAGTAGCATTTGTTTTCAGGTCCTTTTTTGAGGGGAAAGTATTTTAAAAACCCTTATATAAGCTAACTATGAACACCAATATTTAATAATTGTATTACGACAAATATACTTGTAAATAAACAAAGTAGTTGTCTCATTTAAGAAACCCCTATGAGCAATACTATTGATTGTGCCCAAGAACCATTTGATTGAGTTCTCCCTCTCTCACCAAAGCCAATAATTTGAACCGTGAATGAAGTAGGAAATTGGAATCAAATGAGTTCTCCGTCTTTCTCACCAAGGCCAATAATTTTAACGGTGAATGAGTTCTCATTGGTTCTTGTGCCCGTGGTAACAAAATCGTCAGCCTTTTAGGTCTGCTGCCTGATGTTAAATGTCAAAATTTTCGTATAAAAGATTATTCTTGGTCCATGATGCACTTATCCATGCAAAATAATCAAGCTGGAATAAGATGGCTTTAAAATCACAGTTCTTCTAATGAGATATAAATATTGAAACCCAATTGCAGTGTCCTCATCTTGATATGGGGTCTTATATTGATATATGTCTGGAATAAGATATCTTTTTCAAATGTCTGAAAGGGTCATAAATTTTAACTTTCTTCATCTTGCATACTCTTTCTTTCCTTCTATTTTTCCCCCTTTTTTACCCCTTTAACTTGATTGGGCTAGTAATGAAGGATTTTCAACTTTTCTTGCACTGACTTCCTCTAGTGAGATAGGTGGAGATTACTTTCAGCCCTTAGAGTATCTGTCATCCTACCCGCATCTGTGCTCGATTTTGTTCTATAAGAAAAAAGGAGTTACAGAAATAGCTATGAGGCTAAAATGTCATGGTTCTGTTAAGATGGTCAACTTGTTCTATGTGGTTCGAGAAGAATGCTAAAAGCTTTAGGCGTTATAGTAATCCTCATTAATAGAGAGAGAGAGAGTTTTGTTTTTTTAATTTTTACGAGCTAAAGCTGATGTACTATTTTCTGGTTTTATGATTTGAGGGATTCATTTCTTTGATTTTCCATTTCTTTTATTTTCCTCTTCTCGATTGTCATTCGGATTCTATTCTATGTCAAGTATTTTCATCATTCTTCCTCCCTATTAACAAATTTCTTCTTTTATGGGAAGAAATTTAATTCAGTTTTTGGTTTCATGTGTTTTGCAGTGTTGATGATGGATTTCCAGTCGTGACTTTTCATTTTCAGGGCAAACTTCTTATGCCAGTTTATCCCCATGATTATCTGTTCAAAGTTCATGTAAGTAAGCTGGATTAGTTTTATTGCATAATTTGCTATTTCCTTGTTGATTGGGTTGCATTTAATTCCCAAAGTGCTTTTACTAAAAGGTGGCAAATTAGCGTTCCTTGATCCTGCAGTTAAGTGGTCCTGGACATTGCAACTGCAATTTACAAGGACTATTTTTTTCATCCTTCTGAAAATATAGAACAGCACATGTATAAACATACTGTAGAACATCAAATGTACAACGTAACAGATAGATGCCATGTTTCTAAAATCTTGCATTAAGTTTCAATTGGTTGAATTTGGAAGTTCAAAATTGATGTTATTTTCTTGGATAATATTTAAGGCATAACCAACCATATGACACAATGGCCATTATATGGCGTCGGCTAGGGGAGTTGATGAAATGAATAGCAATGGTAAACGTAGAGAATCATACAACGCGACTTCAATTTTGCAGGATAACGAGTACTGTATCGGTTGGCAAAGTAGTGGAATGCAGTCAAAAGATGGAAAGGAATTGACTTTGTTAGGAGGTACATTTCAAGCTTACCTTCTTTTATTAAGTTATTTAGATTTTACTTATTTTTGGATAAAGCGAGCAATAATTGTCGTAAAATGAATTTTTCTTTGTATATCATCTATAAGATTTGAATTACGGGGATTTGGTTCTATAAGTTTTGCGTAGTGATACTCAGACTTGCTAAAGTCAGTTCCTATTAGTCAATTCGATGGTTAAGATAAAAGCTTAAGACTAATGAAATTGGTAAGTTTTATGTTGATTTCCCAGGATATAAATTATGGTTTGTTGCACATTTGTTACTAAAGTGTTGGGAGTTTCTTGTCCATCCCTTTTCTAGATAATGTTCATTAGATTTAGCCCCCGTTTGGCACCCATTTTTTTTCTCATTCTCATTCTCATTTTTTTTCCCTTTCTTCATTTCAACCACACATTCTATCAATAAAATAATATTACACATAAACCTAAAAATACTCCTTACTTTTTAACCACACATTCTTCCATCAATCACTATTCAAAAACACATTTTTCTACTAAAATGGGTGTCAAACACCCCCTAAATATCTAGATCTGAAACTTTTCTTGGCAATACCTTTGTCCAAAAACCCCAAAACTTGTCTGGAATCTGAGGGTTGCCTTTGGTTTTTGAGTCAAGTGTCAAACACCCTCTTAATGTTCAGCTTATTGTTTTATTATGCACTTCATATCCAGACATAATCTTTAATATTGAAATGGCCAAATAGTTAACTTTACTAAAATATACAAGAAAGCCATGATAGTAGTTAATGAATTATAAGCATATATCTCAACGTACTCACAAACACTCGTTTGTATGTGTCAAAAAGAACTATATCTATTTAAATTTTGATTTAATTGACATTCACTTGCTTTCCTTGAATAGCAAGTAAATATCTCGAACTAACGAAACTATCTTTTTTTTTGGTTGCTTCAAATCTCCATCTTAATTCCTGATTGTGGGTTTTATGGATCTTCCTCTTCATATGCTTTCTCTTGTATTCTTGTGTCGATGGGATGACACATAGAATGAGAAAATCACACATGAATTGAGGACCATAACCCTTTATATATTTCCATATGTATTCGGCCCATCGTCAAATACAAACCCCAATGGATCCGATCTCTACACATATAGTTCGATCCCCACTTTATTTAGATGCTTAAAGCCTAATTACTTAATTCCTTATTAGATCACTTTAATTTTAGGCTTAACTTTAAGATAGCATTTATACACAGTTAATTATATATGTCGGCCCATCACGGGAAATTAAATGATTTCCCAACAATCTCCCACTTGGGCCACATATGTTACCTTATAAATGTGTATAACCTTATGAGCTCAAAACTTTTGCTATCATAACCAAAAGTATCTCCGAACAATTTTGTCCATTGATTATATCAATATAGGATCAAAGCGGTCTTCGTTATAAGTAACATAACTAAACCCATCAATGGTCACGTACATCAATACAATCAAATGACATCGATCAAGTGTGGATGTTGAACGAAACGAGAGAAATAATGTGTTTATTTCGTTAATGAATCATATCAACTTACATCCTCTTATATAACAATAATGGAAAAAAAAAAAAAAGGAAAAAAATAAATCTCCTAATTGGAAAGAATATTTACAGCCTATAATAAATATGTCTACACCAAGTATGGAAATATTTTTATTTCTTTCCATACTCGATTTCCTACACTCCCCCTCAAGTTGGACTGTAGATATTGATCATCTCCAACTTGCTAGTGAAATCGTGAAAATGTTGTTGAGACAATCATTTGGTGAGAATATCTGTTTTTTGCTCCTTTGTAGGGACGTACACCATACAAATGATTCCGTCTTCAACCTTTTCTTTGATGAAATGTCTATCAATCTCCACATGTTTTGTTCTATCATGCTGTACTGGGTTAAGTGAAATATTGATGGCAGCTTTATTATCGCAATAGAGTTTTATAGGCAATTTCATTTCAACTTTCAACTCCTCCAAGAGCTTCTTTAACCAAAGTCCTTCACATATTCCCTGTGCAGCTGCTCTAAATTCTGCTTCGGCACTGCTTCTCGCGACTACATTTTGTTTTTTACTTCTCCAAATTACCAGATTACCCCATACAAAAGTACAATACCCCGATGTTGATCTTCTATCTTCTGTTGATCCGGCCCAATCAGCATCTGTAAATATTTCTACTTCTTTCTTTTCATTTTTCTTGAAAAATAATCCCTTTCCGGAGGTACCTTTTAGATACCTGAGAATTTTGTATACTCCTTCTAGATTAGTTTCCTTCGGTGAGTGCATGTGTTGGCTTGCAACACTGACCGCAAATGCAATGTCTGGTCTCGTATGTGATAGGTAAATTAATTTACCTACTAGTCGTTGATATCTCTCTCTATCAATCAGTTCACCTGTTCCATCTGTTCTTTTTCCACAATCTATAGGTGTGCTGCTCGGTTTACAACCGAGCATGCCAGTTTCAGTCAACAGGTCGAGAATGTATTTTCGTTGTGATATACTGATACCCCTTCTTGATCTTGCGACCTCCATGCCTAAGAAGTATCGCATCTGACCTAGGTCTTTTACTTCAAATTCGGAGGCAAGGCTGTTCTTTAGTCCGTCCATCTCGGTTGCATTGTCTCCCGTGAGGATTATATCGTCTACATATACAATCAGAATCATTACTTTTCCTTCTTCAGAATGTCGGAAAAACAACGTATGATCTGACTGCCCTTGTTGGTATCCTTGATTCCTTAGTACCTTTGCAAACCTGTCAAACCAGGCTCTTGGTGATTGCTTAAGACCATATAATGACTTTTTGAGCTTGCATACCCAGTCTTTTCCACCCTTATTATTGAACCCCGATGGCACTGTCATAAAAACTTCCTCTTCCAATTCTCCATTCAAAAAAGCATTATTAATGTCAAGTTGCTGGAGGGGCCAATCTAAATTGGCAGCTAGAGATAAGAGTACTCGAACTGTGCCACTAGTGCAAATGTCTCCAAGTAATCAATACCATATGTTTGTGTGTATCCTTTAGCTACCAGCTGTGCTTTATATCGTTCTATTGTCCCATCAGCTTTATACTTCACATTAAAAACTCATTTACACCCAACTGGTCTTTTACCTTTTGGTAACTCCACCAAATCCTATGTTTCATTTTTTTTCCAGCGCTCGCATTTATTCCATAACAGCTTCTCTCCACTTGAGAACTTCTAAGGCTTCCTGAATATTTTTTGGGATTTCTGTACTGTCAAGATTAGCAATAAAAGTACGGAATTTTATAGATAGAGCGTTATAAGACACAAATTTAGAGATAGGGTGAAGAGTACAAGACCGAGTTTGTTTCCTTAGAGCAATGGGTAAATCATCACTAGGAGGATCAGATAGGATTTTATTCAGCCCTATCACCGGTTCCGACTCTTTTGGTGCCTCAGGTGCGAGGTTTCCCGTATACTTCGAATTCGGCCTCCTTGAGTAAACAAGCACCTCCTTACCTCTTTGATTCTTTGCATCTCCCCCTGCATTCAAGTTTCCTTCTGTAGGTGGCATATTGGATGTGACATGTTCAGTGTAGGTTGGTTCGGGTGGGGAGAGATCAAAGTTGAAAAACTCTTCAAATAATCGCTCTTCACTCAGAATCTCCCCCTGAAGAGTGGGTTTTTTGAAGTAGGGTGTTTTTTCAAAGAAGGTGACATCGAGACTAACAATAACTTTTTTTGTTGACGAATCGTAGCATTTATAACCTTTCTGAGTAGGGGATTATCCAATGAACACACATTTAAGTGCACGTGGGTCTAATTTGCTTCGATGATGAGAGTGAATATGAGAAAAGGTCACGCAACCAAACACTTTCAGAGGTAGAGTAGAGTGAAGACGAGTGTGAGGGAAGTGTGTTTGGAATTTTTCCAGGGGGTGAGTTGAAAGACAGAGTGCGACTGGGCATCCGATCGATGAGATATGTAGCTGTTAAGATCGCATCGCCCCAAAACAGTTTAGGTATATTTGTAGTGAACATCAAGGCACGAGCAACTTCTAGAAGGTGCCTATTTTTACGCTCGGCAATCCCATTTTATTGAGGAGTATTGACACAAGAAGTTTGGTGAACTATCCCATGTTTCTCTAAATAGTCTCGTAGTGTAGCATTGAGATATTCTGTGCCGTTATCCGTGCGGAGTATTTGGATTTGTGTTTGAAATTGAGTTTGAATCATTTTATGAAAACTGATAAACACGGAGCGAACGTCGGATTTTTCTTTTAGGAGATAGACCCAACAGACTCGAGTATGATCATCTATAAAAGTGATAAGCCATCTTGTGTGTGTTCGACTGGGGGTTCGAGAGGGTCCCCATAAGTCACTGTGAATCATAGTGAATGGTTTAGATGGTTTGTATATAGAGTTTGAATATGAAGTACGTTGATGTTTTGCAAGTTCACAATTTTCACACTGGAAATCAACAGGAAGTTTATTCGAAAAAATTGAAGGTATTACGCGTTTCAAGTACTGAAAATTTGGGTGGCCTAGTCTATAATGCCATAACAGAATTTCACTATCCTTAGAGACAGATGCAGACTCATAATTAGTAATTTGATGTAGTTTACTCATATCAGCTTCCTCAAAGTAGTACAGTCCCTCGCATTCTTTAGCACTGCCAATCGTCTTCCCCGATGACAGGTCCTGAAAAACACAGTGAGACGGAAGAAATTTAGCAAAGCAATTTGAGTATCTGGTGAGTTTGCTAATTGATAACAGATTGCAAGATAAATTAGGAACATGTAAAACAGATTCGAGGGTTATAGAGTCAGAAATTTTGATACTCTCCTTTCCTGCGACAGACGAAAGGGAGCCATCAGCAATTTTTTCTTTAACATTACCAGCACACGTTGAGTAAGAGGAGAAAAGATGATATTCGTCTGTCATATGATCGGAAGCTCCAGAGTCTATAATCCAGGGGGTTTTCGATGTTGAAGTGGTAAATAAGGCTTTCTAAAAATTACCTTTATG